CACCATGATCAAGTGGGATTTAACCGTAATTCTAAGTATACCTAGTGTGATGGGCTTCTATGAACAGTTTGTCCACAGTGAGGTGGCTTGTGGACCATGGGAACAAGCAGCATGAGGTAAGGACAGTCATCTCTGGCAATGGCTCCAGCACCCCTTTTCTTTAGGGCTTCCACTATGGCATCACTCACAAAATTAACTTCTCTTACTTGGGGCAGAAAAAAGTAGACGCTTATCCAACATAACAGATGGTACAGGCACCACATGATAAAGATTCCAAAAGATCCTTCTAGAGAAATTTTGCTTTATTGAAGGATACATAAAAACAGGGGGAAAAAAAGATATTTCATGACCAGGAAGTAGGTACAGCACCAAGAGACTAAACCTTCTATATAAAGGAGGAGGAGGAGGAGAAAGAAGAGGCAAAAAAAAAAAAAAAAAAAAAAAAAAAAAAAAAAAAAAAAAAAGGAGTAGGGGAGATGGAACAAAAGAAGCAAGCGTGTTGAGGATGAAAGAAAACAAGTTAAAAGGTGTGTGTGATGGAAAGGGGGGAAGGACCAAGACCAGCGACTAAATTTCATTCAAGGGCATAAGATTACACATCCTAGAGCTCAGAGATACCTCAGAAGCAAATTACTTGATCAAGCACCCTCCCTTTAGGACAGGAGAATGTTAGCCTCTGACATTCACCGGAGCCCAGCCATGAGGTATCCACATCTAATACAATCTCTTGACATCAAATGAAGGTCCTTGAAGCAAAGGGCAAGTCTTCTAAAACGCCCCTCCTCACTCAGTTTCTACTAATGATCACAAGAAAAATAAACAGAACTCATTTGCAACCACACTATGCATAGGGAAGAGATTCTGGGTATACCCAACAGGTGCACTTCTGGCTGTGCTCTAGAACCTCCTCAGTCACTATGCCAACTGCTCCTCCCAGACACAAATGTCCTTAGAACACTCCCAGAGGATCACACTACAACCTTAAAAAAAACTGCCCTATGGTCCCCTAGGATGGGAAAATACATCTCTGCCACTCTAAGAGACACTGGGAATGTTTCTCATTTCAAATACATTGCTATTAAAATTTTAAGTGCCCACCTCATTTTCCATAATAAAAAGTTTAATTTCAAAAAAGTGCCTAGCACAGTTTCCAGAACACAGAAGGCTTTTACTTATATACTCATTTATGAAAATGCTCGTCCTGAATCATATTCGCAGCTGAAAAATAGTTACGACCTTCTCAAAATAGGAAGTACTTCCACAAACTGGAAAGCGGGTGGGTCACTATTTTTAAGCCATTCTGCTCAGCGGGGCAAGAAAAGAGTTGCTAAGGCTTGTATTCTATTTTACGGTAATTTCTGAGTCTGTAAAACAAAAAGAAATGCTCAGTGAGAAAACCAAAAACCTTGTGCATATTTTGGAACTGAGACGTAACTCTGATACCTTGGTCTGCACTCGGATGACTCTGCAGGTGACAAAGGGAAAGTGCTTGCTCTGGGGACTTTGTTTGAAAAAGGACCTTTCACCTCTGGGATTCCAGGTTACTGCTGGCATTTATTTGAAACCTTCTGAGACCAGCTCCTTCGCCAGAATTCGAGACTCCCAGAGGACCCCACTGTGGGAATCAGCGCCTCCCTCCCGCTGCCACCGAGGGCATCGTGCCTTTCAAGTCACCCCACATCTCAGGATTTCTTACTTTCCTCGAAGTGAGGAAAGCTACGGCCCTCTCCCAGCCCCTACAGGGGGCTATGTCTGTATAGCACGGGAGACATAGAACTGCTGTGGGGAAACATTCCCGGTCCGCGCAGGCCTCTCTGGTCTCAGGAGGGGCCGTGACCCCGACCCCCAGAAGGCGCGTCCCGACGCCACCCTCCCACGGCTCAGACAAAGGACCAGAACCCTGGCACGCCTCCCACTCACCGCTCAGATAGTTGGTCCACTTGTACAGCACCCCCTCCATGGCGCCCGCGGCCACCTTGCCCTCGCCCGCCGGCCCCCTCACTGCCCCAGGCCCCAGGAGGCGAGGAGCACCGGCAGCAGGGCCATCGCCCGGCGCTGCCGGGCCGGCCACTCCCGGCGCCTAGGCCCGGTGCGGGGACACCCCGCGGGCCTCACATCCCGGGCCCGGGGGCGGGGTCACTGTGGCGGCCTCCGCACGTGAGGACGCAGCCGGCCGGTGGCCCGGCACTGCGGGCCCGGTGCGCTGTCCTCAAGGAGGTCAAGGCACTGGGTGGGTCCGAGGGGCGGCTGAAGCCACCCAAGTGTCCTGAGTGAAGGAGCTGGTTGCTGGCGGCGCCACGGCGCGCTACCTGAGTCCTCGACCCACGGAGCTCGGGGCCCGCTCGCGCATGCCCAGTGCACCGCTTGCGCGTCTGTTCCCAAAATCCACCCCGGGGTTTAGAGGCGCCGGCGCCATGGCTGATGTAGTGAGAGAGGCCCGCGAGGAAAATGAGTCCTGGGAGGCAGGCTTGGGACTAAAAGCAGGGTGAGAAGGGAGGAGGGAGGCCTCTGGGACAACGGTGGAACACAGTCCTGACTCAATGGTGACGTAGATGGGTTCCATCTCCAGATGTTTGGGAGCCACCGTGGCCCCTTAGGGTGCCCCCTGGATTCTAGTCTTCAGGATTCAATTCTTATTCCAAGGCTAATTAATCCTACGCACTTAAAGACTATTGAGGTACCCAACATTATAGGCGTACGGAGATGATGGGAATTTCACGATAGAATACTGTGTGTGGCCAGCGAGCGTAAACAGATGTTGTCTAAACTGTAAAACCTCGCTACAGGAAGTGTGGTCCGCGGACGGCAGCACTGACATCACCTAGGAGCTTCTCGGAATTGTAGGATCTCGCCACAAGCCCAGGAACTCCCGAATCGAACTTTGCATTTTAACAAGATCTCTCGGGGGATTCCTATGCATATGAAAGAGCGAGAAAGGACTGTGCTAAGGATATTTGACTAGGGAAAATGTTAACTATAGATTCAGTGGTAAAAGCAGGTTACGAAACACAGTATACAATTGGATCCTAATTGTTTTAGGCATATGTCACAAAACCATGCACCAAAATGTTAAGATGATTATTTCTGGATGGTGGCGTTACAGGAGATCTTTTTTCTTTCTTTCTTTTTCTTTAGTGTAAGGTTACCAGATTTAGCAAATAAAAACACAGAACAATTAATTCGTTGTTTATCTGAAATTCAAATTTAATTCGGCTCCTTTAACTGGAAACTCTAGTGCTTTCCAGTTTCTTCCAAATCAACAATGAACACGTATTGCTTTTGAAATTATGCGAAAAATGTAAAATAAAAAAATTTAAAGAAAGATGAGCTTGTGTGACTCGTAACTGTGATTACTACTTCTTGAAAGCGGAGGTGTGCACGTCCTTATCCTTGATAGAGGCTGTTATTGACCCTCTACACTAAGGTCCTCTAAAATTATTAGCAGCCATAATGTTGTACGGCGTTGTAGAATGAATCAGAAGATGGTTTGATGGCGGAGCTCAGTTGCTTTTGGGGCTGAACAACCTTAAGCAAGACGCTTAACCTCTCCTAGCCAAAATATACTTCTCTTTTAATGGGATATAAGAATCTGCCTTACCGGCAGTGTAGAGAGGCTCACGAAGAACGGGAAAGCACTTTGTGAAACCTAAACCACTGTTAAAAGTCTTTATCGTTCATATCCTAAGTTAAATAATAAGCAATTACTATTGGGGGGCCTCTCACCAACTGTGAGGGTAAACGAGTCTTTCCTGAGACCTTGGACTTCACACCCTGGCCGGGTTCTTTACAGCTGTGAATCTGTCGAAGTTTCCGGTTAGCTCCGCGTTCCACCCCTCTCTCAAAGTCCGAGGTTGTGGAATTCTGTAATCCTCCGGGCTCCAGGACCTCACCGGGTGGTTCGCCTCTGGGCTACCGCCCTGCTCGGCCGGGTGGTAGATTACATTGTTGTAGCGTCATTGGCTTGAGAGGCTCCTGAGGGACAGCACCGCAAACCAACGGGAGCTCGCGCTTTCCAGGTGGCAGTGTTGTAAGAGCCAGTCAAGGGCCGGGTTTGGGTTTAACTCTTTAGAGGTGAGTTCGCAGTGCGTGGGAAAGTTGTCGGTGGTGAATGTGCCACGTCTGCTAGGAAGGGGGAGTCATGAACTTGCCAGAGGCTGTTGTCTTTAAATCTTCAACTACATCCTTAACTCTATGAGGTCGGGGGGCCCTTTTTGTGTTTTTGTAGCAACTTGTTTCCCGCCCTGGTAACATGAGGCTTTTCTTGTGGAACGCGGTCCTGACGCTTTTAGTCACTTCTTTGAGTGGGGCTCTGATCCCTGAACCAGAAGTGAAGATTGAAGTGCTCCAGAAGCCGTTTATCTGCCATCGCAAGACCAAAGGAGGGGATTTGATGTTGGTCCACTATGAAGGCTACTTAGAAAAGGACGGCTCCTTATTTCACTCCACGTGAGTAATTATACCCTGCAGGTAAAATAGTAAAGAACCCACCCACATATGCCAGCTCTTGGTCAGGAACAGTGGCGTGTACCAGCTTTATCTCTCTTGAAAAAAACTGAAATATCTAATTTCTTAGTTTGGGGAAAGGAAATTGTTTAAAGCCAATCTTATATAACAAGGACTTTGAAGGTCTTATTGGAAACATGTGGTCAGGATAAAGCAGTAATTTTTTTAACTATAAAAATTAGAACTAGAATTTCTGAAATGCTGTAGAAATATCTAGGTGTATAATTAGGCAATAAGTAGAAAAGCCTTAAAGGAATTCTCATTTCTCAAACTTTGTTCCTGAGGGAAACTAACTCAATTCCATTTTTCTTTTGGTGTAGGTGAAATTTACTTAAACTTTTCATAGCAACTTCATGAGCAGAATATACAATCATTTATTTGCTTGTTGTAGGTTATGTTAATGCTAGTCCATTGACCTAACTTTCTGATAGATGCCACTTTGGTCAAGGCACAGGACCACGATTTGTTTCATTATTTGTTTCTTTCTAGAAATCCAAAGACTTCATTGATGGGTGTGGGTGTGGTTATGGAAGATTAATTCAATACCTACAGTGAAGGATTTTCAGGTGGTTACACTATCACTATCTCTGTTTTATAAAGAAAGAAATTGCAACATGGAAAACTTTTACAAGTGTAATGATTTCCAATTAGGCATTGATTCTCCAATTCCATTCCAAAAGTATTTACTGAACATTTCTTTATGTTAGGCCCTTTGTTTGACACTAGGGAGATTTTAAAATCTGGCTTCTCTCCATCCTCATCCATTCATTCATCTATTCATCAATCAAATCCTTAATGAGTCAGGCCCTGGGGATGCAAAGATGACTAAGAGTGGGTTCTTCTCTAGAAGAACACTGTCTACAGCGGGGAGGAAGACAACTCCTGATGTAAAGTACAGAGTGTTCAAAGTGCTCACAAAGCATAATGGACTCTGGACATAATCATGCTCTGAGAGATGGGGAAAGAGAATGACTTCCCAGAGATTGTCATTGAGATGGGCCTTGAAAGATGGGTGGAGGTTTCTTGGTGGAGAATGAGGACGGGAGGACATCCCAGGTAGGGGGAATGTCGTGAACTAAAGCAGTGAAGCTTCGTGGCCCTTCCTAGACCTCGTTTTCTGATAAACTGCCTTTACTGGGCATTCCGATCTGGTCTGTCATGAGGTTTTGAAGTCAGTGGCACTCTTCTCTGAACTCCGTTAGCCTTTGCAAAAAGTTCGAAGATGAGGGCATGCCACAGAATTCTCAACAGCCCTATCTTTTTTATCAACAAGGCCGGTGCCACAGTGGACAGTAAACAATATTGTGATTTGCATTTGAAACTTCCAATTACATTTTTTATTTTTAGTCTGATCTTTTTTAGACCCAGCCTGCTTTCTTTCAGGTTTCAGAACCAAAAGCCTGTGTGGACCCTGGTGGTAACCGCTTGACATTATTTAGCACTTTGCTACTAAAGTTCTAGTACCTGAAGAGGGGAATATTGTCATGCAGCCTCCATGTAAATGGCCAAAACCTGCCAACTCTCAGTATTATAAAGAAGTACCATCAAATGATCAGTTTATAAAGCATGTTCATTATTTTGAGACCCGTAGCCTACGTGGTAAATAGCCTAAGTCCTTTACCATGACAAGAAACGTGCCAAAACTGTAGGCAGTGCTGGGTGGTAGATTCTTTCTTCTTTCTTCTTTTCTAGCCTTCCCCTATTTTCTGTGGTTGCCATTTTGCTACTTTGATCGTGGAGGAAATTAAGGAAAAGAAGTGATGGCCTTTACCTAGATTTAGTAACCATGGTACCTGTGAAGCCTAGTAGAGTGACTTCTGTTTCTCAACTACAAGATATCCTTGAATGGGACACTTTCCTTATTGTACTAAGAGGGAGCTAACTGGGGCTCAGATACTACTCACCCCACAAGCCCCTCCAGTAGCTCAGCAGGTTGGTTTTCTTAGGCTGGCCTCTCTCCAACTCATAAGCCAGGATATCTTGACCATTTCCTTCTCCCCCAGTCCTTGAGGGGCCACTCCTCCAGACTTCCTTGCATAGCCCCACAATAAATGCCTGGGGAGAGAACTAGGCCAGGGTCTGAGTGGGGATTCAGGGTTGAAGAGCAGCCTCTTGCACCTATCAGAGCCATCAGCAGGCTATACGTCAGGAAAGGTTGTAGGCAGGATATAAGACACCGTGCTCCTGACTCCACTGTGCATGTGGGCATGGACCTGCGAGCATTGGCAGTAAATTCTTAGCTTCTCATTCTCCTTCCCAAACTCATCCATTTTCCATTATTTTATCCCTTTTCTGCATCCTAGTGGTCTTCCTGGGACAGCATCATTTTGTGATCAAGACTTTGAACTTTGGAGTTGGGTCAGATACTGGCACACTCCTCTGTACAATGGGGTAATAATGGTACTTATCTCATATTATCATTGTTAGACTTAAAAGAAGCAAAGCATGTAGGATAATACCTGTATACAGTAAATGCTGAGAGTTGTTTTTATTATTACTCCCTCTGACAGCTCTAGCAAATTCAGCTATGTGAAATTTGCATCAAGAAAGGTGGGAAGTGAAATGAATTACTATCGAGTTTGACATGTGCATGTGTGCTATTTTCATTAATTTCCAAACTAATAAAATTAATCAGTCATGGGTGGAAATGTTACACCACAGCAATAAAAAAATAATGATAAAGTTACTAAGGAGCTCTAATGTGTTTTCTTTCTACTGTAGTCACAAACATAACAATGGTCAGCCTATTTGGTTTACCCTGGGCATCCTGGAGGCTCTCAAAGGTTGGGACCAGGGCTTGAAGGGAATGTGTGTAGGAGAGAAGAGAAAGCTCATCATTCCTCCTGCCTTGGG